ATTCCTGAGGGGAGGGTTTTTAAAGCATCTGAAGCGGCAGAGGAGAGAATGTGGCAGACAAGCTGTGACCTGAGAAGGGGGGCTGGGCTGGGGTCTCTGCGCGGGGGGCCGGGCTGTCTGCCTTTGTGGCCACAGAGGGAAGCGGACAGGAGGTGGGGACCAGAGCTCCGGGCTGTCCTGGGCTCTCTGGGTGGGGCGCAGATCTTCCAGCCTCTCCACCTTCAACCTGATGCCCGGCAGGCCGGGGGGCCTCAGCCTGGGGTCAGGATAGCTGGGCATCTCCTTGCCACTGCACGTGGCTTGGGCCGCGTGCCCCCCCGCCCCCCGCCAGCTGTCACGGGTGGCCGGACAGTTAGACGGGACAGTCTAGGCCGCTCGGTCACATGCTGGGAAATGGACGTCTGGGGAGCTGGCGGGGCCGCCCGGAGCTACCCTCCGTGGGGACAGAGCAGACCTGGGGGGTTAACTGAGAAAACCCACCGGAGCCCCCAGCCAGTGCCCAGTCTCTGTGCCACATGTGACCTGTGCAAGCCTGCCGTGTGCTGGGTGCCTGGGGCCCCGGATGTAGGTGTGGCCAGCACCCCCTCGAGGCCTGGGCCGCAGCCGCCCTCCCTGGGGGATACGGAGCGCCGGGGCAGGTTTGGAGCTGCCTGGCGCCCAGAGAGCAGCAGGGAGGCCATTGCAGCTGCCCGGGGCCGGGTGGGGCTGTTAGCTCTGCCGGGAAGTCCGCTGGGGAGGGGCACATGCTGGGTGTGGGTTGTGGCACCTCTAAGAAGCCGACTAGCGCTGTTTCTTCACGGTCAGGGCAGCGCTGCTTGATTCTTTCTCAGGGAGCCCTGGGTGGCAGCGCAGGGTGTTGGGCTCGGCTGGCACTGGCTGAGCTTCAGAGCCGGTGCCGCTGGCGCCCGCTCACCTTTCATCCGCGGCACTGCTTGGCTTACTGCACAAAGCCCAGGGCCTGCGTCCACTTTACAGACGGGAAGGCCAAGGCTGAGAGACCTGCACCGCGGGGGCGGGGCAAAGCCTGCAGCCCGGCCTCAGCCACCCGGGGGCAGTAACGCCCAGTCTCCCAGCCTTGGGACCCAACGTGCGATTCCCCACCCTCGGTGACGCTGGAGTAAAGGAGAGCCCTGTGCAGAGCTCTGACGGAGAGGGCGCCCCAGGGGGACCGGCTGCGCCCCACCCCCTCCGTCTCCGGGGCCTGGATCTCAGCACCCCCCCGCCCCACCCCTGAGGGCTGAGTTCTTCCAGCTCTTGATCTCCCAGTAAAAAGGGGGAGCGCATTCCTACCCTCGATCGCCCGGAACTCGCTGGGGGGCCGGAGGGGCAGCCAGACGTAGAGGGGGGAGTGGCTAGGAGAGTGAAAGGGGGAAGGATAGGTAGTCCAACCTTGAATTGTTGCATAATTGGCCTGCCCTGCAGCCCCGCGGTTACCCTGGAGCTTTTGTGTGCACGTCTCTCTGGAAGGGCAAGTCTCCCTGGGGCGGCATCTCTGCACTTAGACCCTTCTCATCAGACCCTCCTGCCCAAGCTGTGGTTTGGCTCCGTCTGTGGCCTGACCCTTCCACCTGGGGAGGAGGGACCAGGTGCAGGCACACACACACACACACACACACACACACACACACACACACACACACACACACACACACACAGTCACGCGGGGCCCCAGCATAGCATGGGGGCACCCGTGGCCACGCGGCTTCTGTTGTGACCTCTGCTCTGAAGGCTAGGCTGCCTGGGTCCCACGCCCGGTTCTACACGTGCCAGCACGTGCCAGCTGGGTCAGCCAGAGCCGGAGACTTCACCCCCTCATCTGCAGGAGGAGTAACTGAGGTGAACATGCACCATGAGTCTCTCTTTTACTCCCAAACGGCCCACACGCCCAGGTGATCAGGGCAGGGGCGGGGCCGGGGCTCGGGCTGCCGTCCCACCCTCCCGCTGAGCAGAGCAAAGCACGCAGGCTCCCGGCGGTGGGTGGCGGTGGGTGGGTGCAGGCCTCCTGCGCTCCCAGGGAGTCTGATCACGCTGGGAGAAGCTTGTGGGAACGTGACTGCCGTTCCCCCTACGCTGCCCTCACCAGTTCAGACCCTGCAGGAAAGCCCAGCTGGAGGCAGACAGGACAGACTCTATCCTGTACCCACACCTCCTTTCTGCTCCTACAATGAGGATGCCCAGCCCCTGCGGGAAATTTGGAATCAGAGGTGGGCCAGCGCCCTGCCTGCCAAGTACTGTTTCCTCCACTTTCCAGATCAGACCAAATCCAGAGATTTGGGGTGAGATGCCCAAGTTTCTACAGTTTGTAAGTGATGGTGGAACCCAAGCCTCTGGCCTCCTGATACATCGCTCCATTTAGTGCCAGCTCCTGTGAACTCAGACCAATTACGGGACTTCCCAGGTACCTGGGCTGAGAAATAGGAGAAAGCATGACCCAGAGCAACCCTGGGAGGTTTCTCCGGGGAGGTCTCAGGGATCCAACGAGGCGCCCTGGGCCCTGAGGTCAGTGTTTGGAAATCACGCTTGGAGACCACGGGATGCTGTTCAGAACTGTCACGGATGGTCCTGGAAGACCCAGCTGCAGTTGCGAATAAAATTGTGCAAAAAGAAAAGAAAAGGCCCAACAAACATAATTACAACCTGAGCACCGCCCCGTACCAGCCCCCCAGATCTGGGGATTTGGTGTTTGCAACTCAGCTAGAACAGGGGCTGGACTAGGAGGGGTCTGGGGGCAACAGCGCCTTACCTTCCTTGGGCCTGGGTGATGGCTTCTGGGCCGCCTTATAACCTCATTAAACAAATCAGACTGACTGAGCCCCCGGGCTGGCTGGACCTCCCCGCTTCAGAGGGGAGCCTGGCGCCCCGGCAGGAACAGAAACCTCCGGGCTATAGCTCCCTCGCTAGATCAGGACCAGCATCCGGCAGAGGTCTGGGAGGCCTGCAGGACAGGACGGGGATTAGAAGATTCTGCCTTATGATCCAAAACTGCACATTCCATGTAAAACCTCCCTCCTCTGGTGCAGACACCCCAGGGATCTGCTTCTGCAGAACATTTTTACTTCACCAGCAGCCAAGGCTGCAATGTGTCCCTCTGTCTCCGCCTCACTGAAACCACCCAGGCCAACAGATTCTGCTCTAAACCGGCTTTGACTGGGTCCTGAAAGCATCCACCCACCTCCCAGTCCTGGGCCCGACGGTCAGCTTTAGGCCAGGGATGGACAACCAGGCAGCTTTCCACGGAGGTCCTTCCAGGGACTGGACTTGAGTTGGTGGACCTGGATTCAGACCTTGGCTCTGCCACAGGCGTGTGACACGTGCAAGTCACCTGAGCTCTCAGGAGCCTCAGTTTCCACACGTGGAAAATGGGGGAGATATTTTACAATTCGTGTAGTGAAATTCACAGCCCTGGAACCCTGTGGGTGCTTAATTTATGTTGGCCTCTCCAGCCTGTTGTCCCATTTAATGATGGACAGACAGCAATGTGCCTTTCCTCCCCCTTAGTTCATTAATGTTCTTTTCCTTCCTCCCTCTCTCCCTCATTCCCTTCTTTTCACAGCGCTGTGTCAGAAGGCAGCAGGGAGAGTGTTGTCCGCGGGTGTCATCTCACGGTGGCCCGAGCTGTGATCACCTCCTCTGTAGGGTGGACAGGAATTCCCGGTCAGTCAGGGCACCGCCACTGTATCAGTTGCCTGTGGCGGCCATAACGAGTTACCACAGACTTTGTGGCTTAAACAAAACAAAACAAAACAAAACAAAACAGAAATGTATTCTCCCATAACTCTGGAGGCCGGGAGTCCAGAGTCAAGGTGTGGGCGGGGTTGGTTCCTTCTGAGCGGCTGTGGTGGAACCTGCCTGGTGCCCCTCTTACCGTCTGGTGGCTGCCGAGGCCCCTGGTGTCCCTGGGCCGGTCAGTGCTTCCTCCAGTCTCTGCCTTTGCTTCACACGGCCTCTCCGAGCATCCTCTTATGAGGACCTTGCCACTGGCTCCACGGCCCACCCCGGTAAACCAAGCGTCTTGAGA